TCTTCAATAAAGGGAGTTAACAAAGACCTCATTAAAGAGGTGACAAGGAGACGCTACTTAATGTCCAGCATCTTCAATAAAGGGAGTAAACAAAGACCTCATTAAAGAGGTGACAAGGAGATGCTACTTAATGTCCAGCATCTTCAATAAAGGGAGTTAACAAAGACCTCATTAAAGAGGTGACAAGGAGACGCTCTTAATTCTGGGATCTTCAATAAAGGGAGTAAACAAAGACCTCATTAAAGAGGTGACATGGAGATGCTACTTAATGTCTGGGATCTTCAATAAAGGGAGTAAACAAAGACCTCATTAAAGAGGTGACAAGGAGATGCTACTTAATGTCCAGCATCTTCAATAAAGGGAGTAAACAAAGACCTCATTAAAGAGGTGACAAGGAGACGCTACTTAATGTCCGCATCTTCAATAAAGGGAGCAAACAAAGACCTCATTAAAGAGGTGACAAGGAGACGCTACTTAATGTCCGGCATCTTCAATAAAGGGAGCAAACAAAGACCTCATTAAAGAGGTGACAAGGAGACGCTACTTAATGTCCAGCATCTTCAATAAAGGAAGTAAACAAAGACCTCATTAAAGAGGTGACAAGGAGATGCTACTTAATGTCCTCTTCAATAAAGGGAGTAAACAAAGACCTCATTAAAGAGGTGACAAGGAGACGCTACTTAATGTCCGGCATCTTCAATAAAGGGAGTAAACAAAGACCTCATTAAAGAGGTGACAAGGAGATGCTACTTAATGTCTGCCATCTTCAATAAAGGGAGTTAACAAAGACCTCATTAAAGAGGTGACAAGGAGACGCTACTTAATGTCCAGCATCTTCAATAAAGGGAAGTAAACAAAGACCTCATTAAAGAGGTGACAAGGAGACGCTACTTAATGTCCAGCATCTTCAATAAAGGGAGTAAACAAAGACCTCATTAAAGAGGTGACAAGGAGACGCTACTTAATGTCCGGGATCTTCAATAAAGGGAGTAGTCAAAGACCTCATTAAAGAGGTGACAAGGAGATGCTACTTAATGTCCAGCATCTTCAATAAAGGGAGTTAACAAAGACCTCATTAAAGAGGTGACAAGGAGACGGCACTTAATTTCTGGGATCTTCAATAAAGGGAGTAAACAAAGACCTCATTAAAGAGGTGACAAGGAGATGCTACTTAATTTCTGGGATCTTCAATAAAGGGTGTAAACAAAGACCTCATTAGAGAGGTGACAAGGAGATGCTACTTAATGTCCAGCATCTTCAATAAAGGGAGTAAACAAAGACCTCATTAAAGAGGTGACAAGGAGACGCTACTTAATGTCCGGCATCTTCAATAAAGGGAGCAAACAAAGACCTCATTAAAGAGGTGACAAGGAGACGCTACTTAATGTCCGGCATCTTCAATAAAGGGAGTAAACAAAGACCACATTAAAGAGGTGACAAGGAGATGCTACTTAATGTCCGGGATCTAAACAAAGACCTCATTAAAGAGGTGACAAGGAGATGCTACTTAATGTCTGCCATCTTCAATAAAGGGAGTAAACAAAGACCTCATTAAAGAGGTGACAAGGAGACGCTACTTAATGTCCGGGATCTTCAATAAAGGGAGTAAACAAAGACCTCATTAAAGAGGTGACAAGGAAGACGCTACTTAATGTCCGGGATCTTTAATAAAGGGAGTAAACAAAGACCTCATTAAAGAGGTGACAAGGAGACGCTAATTAATGTCCGGGATCTTCAATAAAGGGAGTAAACAAAGACCTCATTAAAGAGGTGACAAGGAGACGCTAATTAATGTCCGGGATCTTCAATAAGGGAGTAAACAAAGACCTCATTAAAGAGGTGACATGTATGCTGCTACAATAGTGAACAATGCGTTCAACCCAGTTTCACCCTGCTGGATTAATACAAACAGACATCCACCCTTGTTCATATACACTGCTACAGAAGTAGACACTGCAATAAACCCAGATACACCTCGTCCTTGCTTTACTTTTACACATTTCATTGTAGGTTAAGAACATGAACTTGTTCACTTCTCACAGGTTTGATTCTGTATTGAAATGTTGTTTTGAATATCTGAAATATCTTGCTTAGTCATGATGAGACCAGGGGGGTTTGTACGACTCTTCATGTGTTTATCAGCTGACTAGGTACATTTGATGCGGCGTGGGCGACTTGTGAATGAACATGGCCTTACTAGCCAAGTGTGTACACGGACCACGTCACTGGGGATACTGTCACAGTTTTTATCTCCCACTTGTAGGCTACTTCAACATATTTACCTATTTGAACTCGTATCTTACGACTGCATTGTCATGTTGTTTTGTTATTTTCCTACAACAGAAATGTTATCAGACTCTCCGATTGTTTAATATTATAGAAGATATAGATCTGTTTTCTTGGTCAATCCATGTCCTTCAGGGACAACAATTTTCTAAACATGTTATAAGTCTCACTTGTTTAGTGTCAACTGAAATATATATGTAGTTTTTGTCAATCCTAGTTGTCCATGGAATCAGAATTTGCTGTGAAAAGTTGTGTCCCTTGACTGTGCCAGAATCCTATGATTATGGTTGTGAAATCCTGTATTTGCACTTATTATGATCCTAAGGTGATAGATTTTACCTGGATTGTCTACCACAATAAATTGACATGTCAAAATATGATAACTGAAACATCGTTCGAATTAGCATTCAAACCAACTTAATCATTATTGTAGTACTCACTAGAGAACTGCAGTTTAAAAAAAAAATATATATATTCTTTCTCTTGGTTTGTTAAAATTTTAAAGGGGCAGTGGTGTAGCCTAATGGTTAATGCATTTGCTCATCATGCCGAAGACCCGAGTTTGATTCCCCACATGAGCACAATATGTGAAGCCCATTTCTGGTGTCCCCTGCTGTGATATTGCTGGAATATTGCTAAAAGTGGCATAAAACTAAACTCACTCACTCATTCACTAAAATTTTAGCTCCAAATGTAATTCTGAGAGTTTAGAAATATTAAATATCATTTAATGAAATTTATTTATTTGTTTCTAGTCAATAAGGCACAGTAGCTCTCTCTGTATGTGAGTTACTCAGGTATGGTGTCTTCTGACCTCTGACCTCTGATAACACTGTAAAGTTGGGCCGAAGGAAGGAAGGTGAAGGGATGGTAGTACCAGGTAGTAACAATAACAGGATGCTCTACTCTTCTTGCAGACGTACTGGGTCAAAGGTCATGACGACACTGCGACATGTGTGATGCCCACAAGAATGTTATTTGTGTTTGATGTAGGGTGCGTTAACTCAGTGAGTGTTTGAATTACCCAGGTAAAACTCACTTGATTCAGTTTGCCGGGAAACGTCTGAAAATGCCAGTTGAAAGTATTGGAGAGAAGGTTACTTATGAAGGAATGCTAGTAAACAAAAAGGTAGTGTGTGTTTGGGATGGGATTTAGGTTTCCATTACCGTGCCATTAATCAGAATTCCTATATGAAAACAGTTTCATAACCTAACTTTACCACATGCTCATATTTCAGTTTAGTGTCTGTCAACAGACTAAAAAAATTAAGCTCATCTGACCTTAAGTTAAAATACATGTGCCATGTCTATGGAAGTTTTAAATAAATATTTCCTAAAAGCCATGGCAAGTCTAGAAACTTAACCAAGTCAAGTTTTATTGATTCCACACAGCAGAGAAGGGAGAGGTTGTTTTGATATCAATCTCAGTTGTTCCAAAGACATGTTTTCATGGTCTCTTAGTCTAGTCAACATGCTCTGATTAAAAGTGTGAATAGGCCTATCCTTCTCTCACTCTCTGTCAAGGCGCTGCTGTCGGTAAGAATGGGCTTTGAAGGTTCTGTACAGCGAAACCATGGCAGTGTGGCAGTGTAACTGCCTAGACTGTTATACATAATAAAATTAAAATATTTTCTCTCATCACTATATGGCTGAAATACTGCCAATGTGACGATAAATATAAACTCACTCACTAATAAAGCAATGTTATATCAGTTTTAGTTCCTGTTTAGGATGTTATAAATGATTCATTTGTCAAATCAATGTCACTAAAGTTATGTCTATTCCACAGAATTCCAAGTGAAATTTGCAGTAGTGTATTTTGTTTGATATGTTGTATAATCCCGTAACCATGGTAACAGGTATTACCATAAGTATAAATAACACAACAATAATTCTACCACATAAATTCAAATTTCTGGGTAAAGCTGTAATGTTGTAAGTATACATATATTGTGAGAGCCCCTCCAGGATCTGTTCGAAGAAAAACGTGTGAGAGCAGGATATTAGGGAGGGGTCTAGGATATATGCCAGTCATCCCTAGTCCGGGACGTGCACAAATACAGCTCAGGTTCAGGAATAGGCAAATATAGATCCCAGTGGACATATAAGTAGGCTTTCACCATGTGGGGATTTGTATTGATGTGACAGATTAACCTAGGTTGTTGTTCATGATGTTTCTAGGATCTTTCTCTGAGGTTTGAGTTTTACAAATGAGTTTGAGAAAAATTGTGATGGTTGAGATAGTCTGCTATAGTATTTTCTATCTAGGATATAGAATTATTTATTTTTATTTTTTTAACGGACTATGTCAGCAGTTTCTTTGTTTTCATCTTTGGTATCATTCATGGGAAAGGTGATTTTAATATTGCCATTGAAATTTTTTGATGTTTCAAAGTTGATTTCTTACATTTATGTAGTGTGTTCTGTTAAATTGTAGAATGGTGTGATTTTGATAGTTTATTCATAAGTAAAATAGCACAATCCTTACAACAGGGCTAGCTGAATTTCCGTCACTGTATCAGAGATTTGTAATGTGTATTTACTCTTGGTATGTAGAGACGTTCCCTATCATCAGATTTGTATACATGAGGATGATGTTCTAGGACGATGATGTTCCTACGTACACCTGCTGCTGCTGCTGCTGCTGCTGCTGCTGCTACTGTTTGATGATGCTGTCTGTCATCAGTCCCTTCAGTGTGTGTGTTGTGTTGCAGGTTGAGGCTATTGTCCGACCACTGATCCTAAAAGATGAAGACTACCAGACAGTCATGGAAAAAATGTTGGATAACTTCAACCAAGGTCTGGGCAAGGATACCCAAGATAACGCAAGGGTCAAGATGTTCCAGACCTACGTTAGATCTGTGCCCGACGGAACAGGTCAGTTGAACTGTGCATGATAGAGCAAGACATATTTTAAAAAATCTGTTTGCCATTGTTTTACATGATGGCGAAATGTACGTTCAGTACACATAATTGTAGAATGTGGTTGCAGAAAAAATATATGTTGCATCCTGAGTGACTTTAAATAATAATAGGGGTGGTGGGGTAGCCTAGTGGTTAAAGCGTTCGCTCGTCACGCCGAAGACCCGGGTTTGAATCCCCACATGGGCACAATGTGTGAAGCCCATTTCTGGTGTCCCCCGCCGTGATATTGGTGGAATATTGCTTGCTAAAAGCAGCGTAAAACCATACTCACTCACTCACTTTAAATAATAATAGGGGCGGTGGGGTAGAATAGCTGTTAAAGTGTTTGTTCGTCATACCAAGACCCGGGTTCAATTCCCCACATGGATACAATGTGTGAAGCCCATTTTTTGTTGTCCCCTGCCGTGATATTGTTGGAAAATTGCTAAAAGCAATAAAACTCAATCTCTCACTAGAATATTCCCTCTACAAACTTCTTGACATAAACGATAAAGTTATTGTTATAAACATAATTACATTAAACGTAATTATTAAAACTTCCAGTACAGCACATTACACTACTAATTTGAAATGAAAATGTTTACTGTGTCATTGTCCATCATTACATTGGCAATCTTGATAAATGTAAACATTTATATGGTTGTGAATTAATCATCTTTATATCGATAGGTGTAAATTTGCAAGTTCTTTGCTAAATTGATATCATATTGAAACATCGCAATCTAAAATGTCTTGTTGCTGTTTCTTTTTTATGCATCTACTGACCAAAATTTATCACACGAAAATTGGTCACCTAAACAATAAGTAAAGTTTGTTTGTTAGTTTACGCCACATTCAATATTGATTTTCGTTGTCCTTTAAAACAGATTGAATGAGGTCAATAAAGAACCTTTTAAATGAGGTTGACACCGCTTCTTGGGATCCATAAAATCAGATATAGACCTTGTGTAAAATCTATCATTGTTGTCCGCTGCCATGTAGCTGGAATATTACTGAGTGTTGAGTTAAACAAACCAACTATATTTTTCCTTATCCTGACTCATGCTCTTTTGCTTGTCTTCTTCTTCTTGCGAACATAGTGGAACACTTGTATCTCCCTAATTGAAGCTCCCTTCAATGTAAAATCACTAATTAGTACTCACCAAGAGTTGCTTCCCTTTCCGAAATGCGCAGGAATGGAGGCGCCACCTCTTCCCACATGCTTCACTCTCTCCTGTTTAACAAGCAGGGAAATCCAAAGTGTTATGTGGGGAGGATGGGAGGGCTTACCTCATGAGTCAGGATAAGTATAAAATATCAATTTTATTCAGAAAAGTACATAATTGTTGTATAACCTTGTGCTACAGAGGAGGGAGAGTTCCTGGCACTGGACCTTGGAGGCACCAACTTCAGGGTGCTGCTTATCTCACTGAAGGGACAGGAGGTGAACATGGAGAGCAAGATCTACCTGATCCCCCAACAGATCATGCTGGGGACGGGCACACAGGTGCGTAGATCTTACTCCCTGAATATATACTGAGAGAAACAAATAAAGGATCACAGGAAAATTCAAGCGGTGCCTTTAGTATTTTCCAGTTTTCATCATCAGCTTCGAATAGCGCTGTGGTTATGAAAACTGGAAAATAATGTAGGAATGCTTGAATTTTCCTGTGATCCTGGATTTGTTTCTCTCAGTTTATGTAATTTTGATAATAACAAATAAACCCATTTAAATTTAAAAGGGGTCCCAGTGAGATAGGAGATTCAGAACCTGTGAAAATCTAGACTTACTTCATTTAGAGCTTTAGCATTTCCGGGAGGCTAGGCAGAAGGAAAAATTATATGGTTCAGGGGCTGTGAGACAGAATAATGGGTAGACTGCTTTGGTCATATTGCAAATGTGTTATTATGAAGATGTTCAGCCCAAGGGATATAAAACACTACTTCAGAATATATTGGGGTAAATTGTATAGAAGCTTCTTACTCTGAACAAACTTTTACCAACAACCTCAAAATACCTTCTCTATCTGTGGAGTATGGGCTCTTAGCTTTATTTTTCTGCAACTGATCTATGAGTTTCCAAGGTTCATCCAGCTGTTGTGATTTCAAGTTACTCTGAAGCACTGCATGTATATTTGTTACAATATTTAGTGTCCCTTGTATCTAATATAAATATTTAAGTTCCTTAGTTGACCCATGATCTGGTGATTGCAAATCTTGATCCTTGGACCCTTAAATTTACATGCCTTTGAATCCAAAACCCCTTAAGTCTGTAGAAGCTGCATTGTGGTCCGGACAAGGAGCCCCAATTGTTGATGAATAACATAATTGACAATATAGTATAGAGGACCTGGCAGTGTCTACTAACTGTTCTCATCTCGTATTACCCAGCCACAAAAGCTGAGATATTACTGAGATATTGGTAATATTCAAAGCAGATTATTATTCAGCTGACTCACTCAGAGCTAGTGGTCACATGATCCATAGGAATCCATATCTCTCCGAAGAAGCGCTGCATGTTAATATGCCTTTATCATCCCTCAAACCACTGTATTTTGATATATACTGTGTCATTCCCCAGAGCACTATATGTTGATATGCCTTTATCATCCCAGGAAGCACTGTATGTTAACATACCTTATATCATCCCCCGAAGCACTTTATGTAATTCTTACTTTTGATCACCCCTGTATGTTTTACCCTCTGTTTCAGCTGTTTGACCATATAGCTGACTGCATCTTCAAGTTCATGAAGGAGCACCAGCTCCTGAACAAGATCCTCCCCCTAGGCTTTACCTTCTCCTTCCCCTGCCGCCAGGTGGGCCTGGCCCACGCCCATCCTCACCACCTGGACCAAGGGCTTCAAGTGTGAGGGGGTGGAGGGCAATGATATAGTCCAGCTGCTCCATGAAGCAATCAAACGACGTGGGGTATGTCTCTTTGTCCATAGCTGCTTACTTTCATAAATTACAATTAGTATTTTGTTAAATCTTCCAAAGACAGACTATCTGAATCGAATCATCTTTAGTAAAATATAATGGTATAATGGTCTGTGGGGGCATCCATGTAAACCTTGACACAGTATCTTATTGGGTTGGCACTGTTAAACATGCAGTCACACACACATAAGCATGCAAATCACTGTGACAGTGCAGAATGTTGAAAATGATTTAATCTCACCTCACCTCACCTGGGTTAGAATTGGTCTTCAGAAACCCATGCTTGTCGTAAGGATTGGGTGGTCAGGCTCGCTGACTTTGTTGACACATGTCATCATATCCAATATGCTCATACTGTTAATCACTGGATTGTCTGGTCCAGATTCGATTATTTACAGACTGCCGCCATATAGCTGCTGGACTGCTGATTGCGGCGTTAAAAAATAAACAATAAATCAATAAATATATCACCACCTCACCTCACCTCACCTCACCTCACCTCCTCACAACACAGCACACCACCATGCCTCACCATGCCTCACCTTGTCTCACCTCATCATGCCTTGCCTTCCCTCACTAACAGTACCTTGTGTCGTGTTGCAGGATATAGAGGTGGAGTGCCTAGCTGTGATAAATGACACTGTGGGAGCCCTTATGTCCTGTGCCCACAGTGAGCGGTCATGTGCAATTGGTCTCATTCTTGGTGAGTTGTTCTAGCAGGATATACTCTCTCCTGGGAGTTGTTTTTATTGAAATTTCAGAGATATGTTGCCTATTTCTTCTGTAAGTCTTGACATAATTATGAAATATGTGGAACAGATGAATTTCAAAGGTGTTTCATGCATATCCCATAATTTGAGTTTGTTAGGTGTCGTGTATCAATAAGTGAGTGAGTTTTTCACCGCACTCAGCAATATTCCAGCTGTATGGCGGTGGTCTGTAAATAATCAAGTCTGGACCAGACAATCCAGTGATCAACAGCATGAGCATCGATCTACGCAATTGGGAGACGATGACAATACGTTGACCAAGTCAGCGAGCCTGACCACCCAATCCCATTAGTCACCTCTTATGACAAGCATAGGTTACTGAAAATCAATTCTAGCACAGATTTTCTCAATATCAATATCAACAAGTGAGTGTAACTATGGCATGTCCTGATGGTAAGTCCCCAACAGATTGAAGTGTGCTGTTCTGAAATTATTCCATTCTTTTTGAGGACGCAATGTCTCATCAGTTTTCCATATCTAGGAACATGCTTCTTATCATTATTGAATTCATGAAACAATTTACCAGAGCTGAAGGCAATAGACAAAAAGTGAAGTTCAAGTTTGTTGGATTAGGGTATTTAACATAACAACCAAATGCAGAGTATAGCCTCTAGACATTTCAAATCCACAAGGTTCACAGATAATATGGTTAGAGCGTCCGCCCGGAGAGTGGAAGGTCGCAGGTTCGATCCCTGACCGCGTCATACCAAAAGACGTTAAAATATAGTACTTGTTGGTCCCTGTCTGGCGCTCGGCATTAATGGATACAAGGACTGGTCGGCTCGGAGTCAGTATAATGTGTCTGAGTGGGGTATTCATGCGTCACTGCGGCGTGGTATCTCAGTAGACTAGCACCATAAAACCAGCTTAAGTCTGGGCTAGTACAAGCAGACGCACATACACACGCATGCACGTCGTCATATGAGCGAAATATTCTCAAGCACGACGTTAAACCCAATTTCACCTCACAGATAATAATGATAAAAATAGCAAGGCTGTAAATATCATGCATTTTGCAGATCAAATTTGTTGTGCCAGATGAAGTTAACAATAGCAATTATTCTATTTCAGTCTACCAAAACTAACTCCGCATTTAAATCCTGTAAATAAAAATGTGGTGTTTTATCATACATGCTTTGTAAAATGGAAATATTGCTTTTTTAGCTTATCTTTCATGTCAAAATAATCGATTATGACAGCATGAGACTCCAGTCTAATAATCAATTACCATTAATTCAACTTTTTGGTTCTTTTTGTGATTGTATGGAAAAATTGTAAACATATGTTTTGAATTGATTCATTGCTGGTAGAGTTGAAAACATTACTGGACTGTGACTTAGTAAGGATGTATTGATCGCCTTCAGCTGTGCCCTTGTAGGATGTATGTAAACAGCTCTGTGACTTCAGTGTACAATATTTCTGATTAAGTGTGGGTGTTAGTGTCGCAGATGGTCAATGTGTGCGGTATTGCAGAGGTGGTAGATATTGCTGATATCATCACAATCAGGTGATAATAGTGATGCACTCACTGTCTGTGTTACTGATTAAAACTGAAGGTGATATATTGTTTGTGTGTGGTCAATACATAGATTACTTTCATTATCTTGGTCTGCTATCTTTATGCTTACAATTTAGAGCGGAAGGTCACGGGTACGATCCCCAGCCCCGTCATACCAAAAGACGTTCAGGGTTCGAATACCCCATATACTTGTGTGCCATGGCACGGTAAATACAGAAATGGCACGGCTAAAAAATGTTCTCGGTGCCCTTTTGACACGCCTATTTTTTAAGAGACGTAACTCACATTTAGTCATTTAATCCCCAAAACAATTATTTTTTTCCAAATTGAATAATACCATACATATTTGAATTCTCATAAACCCATTTCTTTATTTAACAATAAATTTCAAATGATCATCATCATTGTCATTTAATCTAAAAAACATGCGGGCATACTCGATTTCAGAAAGGCACACCTAAAATATTTGTCTGGTGCCCTATGGCACACTGACGTTAAAATATGGTAATTTTTGGTCAATGCCCAGTGCTCGGCATTAATGGGTCGCCTCGGAGTCAGTATAATGTGTCTGAGTGGGGTATTCATGCTTAACTGTGGCATGGTATCTCAGTGGGCTAGCACTATAAAACCAGCTTAAGTCTGGGCTAGTACAAGCAGCCACACATACACACGCATGCATTTGAGCGAAATATTCTTAAGTACGACGTTAAACCCCATTTCACCTCACCTAACATTTGACACTTTACACTGCACTTTTCTGGAGTAACCTGGCTGTACATGGAAACTACAGTATATTTGTTTCCTGTCAGAAAATGAGCGGTCTAGTGGATAGATTGTTTTACCAGAGATTCTTGGCCACATCATAGTGAGTGAGGTTAGCTTTATGTCGCTTTTAGCAATATTCCAGCAATATCACAGCGGGGGACACCAGAAATGGGCTTCACACATTGTACCCATGTGCAGAATCGAACCCGGGGTCTTCGGCTGACAAGCCAATGCTTTAACCACTAGGCTACCCTACCGCCTCTGGCCACATCATAAGAAATATTTACGATGGTAGTTGAATCAGTATAGTGAGTTTGTGTAGGGTATCCATCTTACACTGCAGCATGGATTCTCCCAGAGCATTGGTACTATAAAACAACACATGCTCACATTAACATGAACCTTGACTCCATTGTACCATAGTTTGTCCCCTTCAGTAGCTGAATGTATGACTGCTTATTTCAGGCACTGGCACCAATGCATGCTACATAGAGAAGCTGGAGAACTGTGGTCTGTGGGATTCTGACTACGATGATCCCAAGGAAGTAATCATCAACACGGAATGGGGTGCATTTGGTGATGACGGCGCTCTTGATTTCCTGATGACTGACTACGACCGTCTGGTGGACAAGCATTCCATCAACACTGGCAAACAGATGTATGTAGCTCTGATCTGGCTGCACACCTAGAAACTATTCACTTTAGTCTAACATACAGTATTATGAAGGATAGTGAAAAGATATGCACAGAATTCTTTTAGAGCAGTTTCCAATGCTGTCAGTGGCACAAGGGCAGATAACTCTCGAGGTACCCTGGTTATAATGCCACCGTTTGTCTAGGAGAAAATGTGGCATTATCTCCAGGGTGGCATTGTAACCAGGTAGGACAGTTAGAGGCGTTATGCAATCAACAAGGTGATTGAGCTGATGTTGCCTGTAATGAGCCTTGAATGGCTGGATAGGTGACTACTTGTCGGTGGCAGGAAGTGTCTTGTCACATGTGTTATCCTATCTGGGTTTACAAGACTACTTAAAGCATTAATGTATTTTATCACGTTAACACAACTTACTATGCCCTCTTTTATCGTCCAACGATCCTTATAGGTGACAGTTAAAATATATTCCCTCTGTTTGGAAGGACTGACCATGTCATCAGTTAATTGTATAGGCATTGGTTGCTGGGCTTCTATACACAGAGCCAATACAGGGCCCACTGAAGGTGATGTTGTTTATAAAAAAAATTCTCGAAACATTTGTAGCCCTACGAACTTTTTAAGCCCATTCTTAACACATTGGCTACGATCAAAGTTAAGAATTCTTAGGGCTACGAACGTTTTGAGAATAACCTCCCGAGTTTATACTTTGAGACATCAGTAAGTTATATACATCAAAGTTCGTCACAACAGTGTTAGACTGCATATTACAATGCAACTCCTTTGATAATTCACTACCATAACGGGGCGGTGGGGTAGCCTAATGGTTAAAGCGTTGGGTCGTCACGCCGAAGACCCGGGTTCGAATCCCCACATGGGCACAATGTGTGAAGCCCATTTCTAGTGTCCCCGCCGTGATCTTGCTGGAATATTGCTAAAAGCGGCGTAAAACCAAACTCAGTCAGTCACTACCATAACTAGTTGTGATGTAACTAGTATGCTGTCACTACTCACCTGTCCCTGTGTTCCAGCTATGAGAAGATGATCTCAGGAATGTACATGGGAGAAATAGCGCGTCTGGTTATGGAGCGTCTCCGCAAAAACGGATTAATGTTCAGAGGTCGGGGCTCAGAGGAACTCTCCACAAGGGGGCGCTTCTACACAAAATATGTATCTGAAATTGAGAGGTGAGGAAACATGTTATATGTTGTGTGGATAAGGTTGAATGAATCATTTTTATTCTGATGTTAATAAGGATAATAATAGTATTCATAGTATTGCAGACCTATCGTAGGAATTCTCACGCTTGCATCAATAGTGCCAACTTGTTTGACACTGTATTATTCTCAGTGACTTAGGTTTGGTACCTCCAAATCTGTTGACTTAAATTGGGAGAGTACCCAGGTTAAACACAACCATTTTGACTCACTGACTTGGTTGACACATCATATCACAGTTGCGTAGATCCTTGCTTCTGCTGGTGATCACTGGATTGTCTGGTCCAGACCACCTCCATATAGCTGGAATATTGCTGAGTGTGGCATTAAACAAATGTGCAGAAGGCTAAAGTATTAGGGAGTATTCTCATTCTCTGGGAGGTTTTTAGTGGGTTTGACTTGGCTGCTCTTCATGGGACATTTGCTTTCTGGGCTGCATGTAGAGGGGGCAAGGGCACTGAGCTGATAATAAGCCTAACCAGCTTGTTTGCCAAGATCATTTCCGGCATTTATTTTTATCTGTAAATAATAGGAATTATATGGTTACTTAGTTCATAGCACTACCCAATTATGTATAGTCAGAGTGCTTTCAATTTCCTGGGAAGTTCCAATCCATAATCCAGAATGTTATAGACACATCTCCTGTAGGGGTGGTCTCACAAGACAAAAACATAGTTTATTGTTTTGTAAATATTTTACTCAAATATTGTTACAACTGTCGTAGTTTTGTAAATATTTTACTCAAATATTGTTACAACTGTCGTAGGGATTTTAGATGGACATTTAAATGCTTATATGTACCCCAAGGAGGACTATTTTCAAAGAATCTGGAACCTCTACATGTAAGTTCGAATTTCCTGGGAAGTTCGAATCCATAATACTGAATGTTATAGACACATCTCCTGTAATTTCAGTGACGTAGATGACGGCTTCAAGAACACAAAGCAGGTGTTTGATGAGCTGAACATTGAAGAATTCACAGAGGATGACTGTCGTATAGCACAGTATGTCTGCCAGGCAGTGTCTACGAGAGCTGCATACCTTGCCTCTGCAGGTACACACGTTATCATCAGCCTAGACTTTCTGTTGGTGTTATCCTTGGGGTTTGTGGTCCAAAATAGGGCCTTGTGCTCTGTTTTTGTCATAACAATGAACTCAAATGGTTAGGTGTCGCGGTCCTGCTGGCATGTTGTTCCACACTAATTATGTCCATTATGTTATTACATGGCAGGTGTACTACTAAATACCGGGGTGGAGGGGTAGCCTAGTGGTTAAAGCGTTTGCTGATCATACCAAGGACCTGAGTTTGATTCCCCACATAAGCACAATGTCTGAAGCCTAATTCTGGGGTCCTCTGCCATGATATTGCTTGAATACTGCTAAAAGCGTAGTAAGACAAAATTCACTCACTCACAATAGTATTCCCTCGGTAAGCTTCTTGGCATGAACTATCTGATGGAGTGTGGAAGATCATCCATCTCACCTCACCACTAATGTCTTTGTACCTGGCAATATGGCCAGTTATCCAAGTATTTTCATCTGTTTTTGTTCTTTCACAGGTATTGCATGTCTTCTGAACAAGATGGGACGTCCTGAGGTTGTCGTGGGAGTGGATGGGTCACTCTACCGCTTCCACCCACACTTCCATGATCTTATGATGGAAAAAGTACAGAAGCTGGCTCCAGACATCAGAGTGAGTTGTCTCCCTTAGACCAGAAATTGGCTAATGTTCATACATTTCTTCGAGTGCTTCTTTCAGCAATATGGATGGTATTGCTGTTTTAGACTATGATTGTAATTCAATATTGGGATTCCTGGGGACTGGTGGCCATTCATGTTAAAGAACTCCCAGAAAAATGTGAATTACTGAAAAGTGAATAAACAAACCAAACATTTCAGCTAAGGGCTAAGTTACTGCCACTGAATATTCTATACAGAATTATATTTCCTGTTCTAGTTTTAACATATGACTTCTTTTGCAATGTCATTTGATGATTTACAAGGTGGGGTTAATGGCTAGCATTTTTCTAAAACTTTATTTACACTTAGGAATAATGATCCTAATTCAGTATCTGCTGTTTCATCACAAACAATGCACATTGTTACTGTGTTGCAGTTCAAGCTCATGCTGTCCCATGACGGTAGCGGGAAGGGTGCAGCCCTGGTTGCCGCTGTAGCTAACAGACTTCGCGATGAAAAGGCAAAACGGATCGCTGATGGCATGACAGGTGTCAAGGTGCAGGATTAATGTCATGGGAACGTAGGAATTAATTTGTTGTTCCAGACTGTGATAGCTGGAAGTGACTGCTTCTAAAGGACCATCTGTATATTCACAAAACATAGTGAGGCACCAGCTTTTCAACTGTGTTGACTTCTTCACTTGAACCAGGAAGTGACGGACTATAGCACAGTAACAGGATGCATGTGATGTCCACCATCAGCTGATGCCTGCATGGATGACCAGCACTGGGACAAGCCATCGACTCATTATCTGGGCTGTAAGAGGGTAGTTTTGTTAGAATCATTCACTGGTGATTTGTTGGCTACTCATCTGGTTTCCTAGTTTGTAGTTGCAGCACTGTGTTCCACTCTACAGTGTGTGCATGTGTAATGCTTGACCACTACAGATAGGGACGGAAAACTTGTACCAATGGGAGAACTCTGTTTGAATGGCTTGGACATGAAACTGGGATATAATATGTAGATACGGGATCATATCATGTTTATTAGTTATAAGACGGATGCTTTGACAAGAGGTGTCGCACAGGAACAACCTTTAGTGTGTACATGTCAAACAGAAGGCCTTTGTTTATGACTAAGCATTGAAATGTGTATTTTGTGCTGTAATTGGAGGTTGTATTTTGCAATGCTACTTTTGCACAGCAATGCTGTTGTGTTGCCACCGCCCCACGAGTTGGTCCATCTGTAGAAGGTCATTGAGTGCACTTGGACACTTGATGGATCTCAGAGATGCCAACCCATACGATTTTATCGTATTTGTTACGAAAAACACAACAAAAACTACGATAGCAGTAAAAATATATGATTTTTAAAGAAATACATTAAATTAAATTATTAAATAGCATACGTACCATACACAATAAATTTCGATCACATTATATTCAGTATCAAGCTATATGTGGATACGTACTACTGATTTAGTTGAGTATAACGTTAATAACAAGGTCTTAGACTATATATAATTTTTTTTATTTAATATGAAAATTCTTTGGAAAAGTTCATACTAATTTTGGCCAACATATACTAATTTTTTAATCAGTTTTTGGCCAAAATACTAATTGGTCTAAATTAGGGTTGGCGTCTCTGGGATCTCTAGACAGGTGCTTGGTGGGATGTTGTTATTGTTGGTTACTGTTACCACCAGTTGTTGTGTTTTTGTTTAGGATATACTTGCACAGCTCAGCAAATCTACTGCTTTTCCTCCTTAGAATGTTCTTCTCCAGTTGGTAGAGCATTCTTATTCACTGAATAGAGCGTTATTCCTCACTGGGTAGAGCATTCTGAATGGAGCATTCTTCCCCACTGTTGAGAGCATTCTGTCCTAAAGGCTAGAGAGTACCTTGTCAATTGTAGTGGTTCTTCCTCAGTGAACAGAGAGTTCTCACTGGTTACAGAGCTCTTCCTCACTGGGGGTTGGTGGTGGCGGGGTATCCTCGTGAATAAGGAATTCACTTGTCACGCCGAAGACCCAGGTTTGATTCCCAACATGGGCACAATGTGTGAAGCCCATTTCTGGTGTTCCCCGCTGTGATGTTGCTGGAATATTGCTAAAAGGGGCGTAAGAACTAAACTCACTCACTTCCCCACAGGGTAGAGCATTCTAAATGGTGGGTAGAACATTCTTCACTCGGTAGAGTACTGTCTCACTGTAGTGTTTACTTTCTCGCTGGATAGAGCGTTCTTCTGCAGTGGGTAGAGTAATGTGTCTCACTGGGTAGAAATTCCACTAGATCTTGTACATATCAAAAGTGTCTAGCCATTACGCATCTCATGACAGTTCCAGTCAAAATTAGCGAAGACTGGTTACCATGGCTACACATGTGGAGGGATAAGTGTGTTGAGATGAAAATGGTTGTCTATTTATGGGTGAAGTGAGTTTCAGGTGAACTGAGCAAGATGTAAGTCGAAGGACCCACTCTTTTACTTCTTCAGATCGTTTTAATGCAGACACTGGTCGAGTGTAAAATACATTCAATGGATCTGAGTTGCCTCAAATGATTTTACATCATCACTTCCAGATGGATTACCTTGCTTTGGAGTTGTCTCCCTTCAACTTCTCAGATGAGGATTTCCCTTGTATTTTGTGATTACAGGGCTATATGTAAACTTTTTGTTTGGGGTAGTTGAGGGATTTAGTGGATTGTGTGAAATGATTGACTTTGTTATATTGATGATCAAAATGGAACTTTGTTGGAAAGTTACCTCCCTTGCCCCTATGGTAGTGTTTGCCACTGAAATTGGTAGCCCTTGCTTGTTCCACTGTTAGGAAGTGTTGATAGATGTACAGTCAGTAGAGGGCCAGGGGATTTACTTGCATTGTAGAACTGTGTCTGGAAGATAGTATCTGACAATAATTGTCAGGGATGTTTCTGTCGTACGTCACATCTAACACTGAGTCGTGTTTTATCTAAATATCCTAGCATCTCATTGGCTTCAGAATCTCATAATGGTCATTCCAGGACTATCCAAGAGAACAACTAGATTGATGGCATCAGAAACATGCACTCATCATTATCATTATGTATCGTTGTTACGAGAATCATCAGCTAGTCACTATGAGCATTGGGAACCAGTATAATGCATCAAGAGAATTTGTTGAATTTTAAATACTCACTGAAACTTCCAAGAAGATCTTTTGTTTTAATCTTCAGACTTGTATGTATTTGTCTCAATGAAGGTTGGGACCCGAGCTTGTTGAACTGTCAAGATCCAGATCTGCTTATTGTCAATTTGATTGGCACTAGAAGTGCACTAGCTTACTATCAAACATCAGATTCAGGGTCAAAATACATGCAATGACATTGATGAAAGCCAATGTCTTTAAGCCCTCTGTTTTGCTTATACTCTCAACTTATTACACAGCAAGCCTCAGATGGTCTGCGGAACAAATAGAAGAACAGTTACGAAGGGTTTCTTAGCATCTTTACACTCAAAGCCCATGTTTGTTCTGTATTCCTAGCCTTGATTTCATCGGTTGTTGATCAAATCGAACTTCCATACTGAAGTCAACTGATGGCTCTAAAAGTGTTAAGGACACAAAATTTTGTGCCTTTAGTCGTATATGTATACAAATTCAGAATGAATGCGACTTGTTTATGTTGCAAGACACTGTGTTGTCTGAATAATCAAATTTTTAAAGATCGCAGCATACATGTCACAAATTTCTGATGTTTCTGTCCTGGTAAAAAACACATTCATTGTGGAGAATTTGAAATGATTAATTTCTTCAATCTAAGAAATTGAAGGCCTTGTCTCTAATAGGCCGAAGTAAAGTTTCTGGAAATCAGTTAAGTCGTACCACATGTCGCCAGTCTTTGGCCCCTTAGTTTTTGCCTTGGACCCTGCTTTTTCATAGCAATTTGCATGTCTGCTTCTATATATTTTACCCCCGGTCTTATATTGGTCATAACCCTGGAGTCACCCTGGATCTCTGTGGGCCATCATTTGTGCTAAGACACTGTTAGAAGGATAGAAGTGTAGGTGGCAACAAAGTTGCTTCCCTTTGTTGTTCCAGGATCTGTTTAGTTGTCATTATGATGCTCGGTTTGTTAGAATCATACCAGTGAGTTTAAAGTCATAAATGTCACTGAACTTACTTACTGCACCCCAAGCTGACAGGTTTTAACTATCCGGAAATACTGATCAGTTTTTACCCCATCTCTTACACTCACTTGAACAAAGATAACTTTAGGGGCAAGAAATTTCCCTAGGATACAATGCTTGCAAAGAGAAGACTTTTAGCCCCAGGTTATGACTAGATTTGAATTAGTACATTTGTGCAAATTTGGCATGTTAAATTCCCTGAGGCCAGTATCTCCACAAATTTTTATGCTTTTGATACTTTTTGAGCATTTTCCCGTAGAATTTATCCCTTTAATCCTATACATGCATATCGACTGTAAGTAATTTATAAAATTATTGAACTGTTCAGTAGAACTTTAGTTTTCAGAGGTGGGTAATTGCCATACCTGGTGATATGGTTTTGGTTTTATCAAGCTCCATAGTGTCTACATATTACCCAACAGTGTTTTGAGAAGATAAGCCGCATATCTTTATTTTGTACAGCTATTTTAGGTTGACCACTACGCTGTTGTCCATGTATATATGAAATGCCTGCCGCAATGTTACTTGTTTCTCCCTGTGAGTGACGTACTGTTATTGTTTTAGTATACAGTTGTTATACAGTTTAAACAGCAGGGGGATGTGATGCTGGGACTGTCTCATAAGATTATTTAAGTTATGTTTTTTTAGGAAAAGGACATTTTCGCTATGACTAGACCAATTTATTTTTATATTTTGTTTATGAGATCTCTACATTTTGTTACAGCGTGAAAATGCAAAAAACATAAATTTTCCCCATTTTCTAATAATCTTTTTGTTCCATATATTTTTATTTAACCTATGAACAACCTTATCATTATTTATTTGTTATACTATTTTAATAACATTTATTCTTAACTAAAGAAATCATATATTTGTCCTGGACCGCAGAACCATCTTGGTGCAAAGACGATCGTAATTCCCATTTTTTAATATTAATATGAAGGTTGTAGTGCTAAGATGGATTTGTGACAGGGGCCCTGGTATATACAAATGATAATGTTTCACTAATGTGTATAATAAATTGTTCTGACCAGATATGTAGAATTATGCCCAGTACCTTTTGAGACGGTCCCTCTCCTTGCCTTGTTAACTATGCACACTCAACACTTAGGGTGCACTATTAGTGATCTCTGGATGTGATACATGGGGAACATAGTTTGTGTGAAGGAACATGTGTTTGTTTGTGTTAGTGAGTGTGTGTGAGGTGTGAATACAGGATATTTGTGTATGTTAATGTGTGTGTACATATATATATATACTCAACCAAGAAAATCAAAGGACCACCCCAATTATCAATAGTTTAGTATGTAATAGTTCCTATTATGATCCATATAATGCTTAAATATTGAATACGGGGTGGTCCTTAACTTTTGTTGTTGAGTATATAAGGAAATATTTAGCTCTGCACGTCTCCACTGAATTCTTTGCTTTTTGACACACTACCATCACAACCAATGTTATTGTGTTTAAAACAATTGGATTGTGTTGTCATGGCTATTGTGTTCGGAGACTGATAAATTCTTTGAATATATTGATTGGTATGTTTATAGTCTTTTGATGAGGATGCCATTGTGAAAGTGTTTAGCTAGTAGTAATGAGTCAGATTGGCTGTGTATCATTTAAAAGAGATGAGACCAAAGTTTAAGTTTCCGATACAGATGAAATATTTATGTATAATGATTTTACCATTAGTTACTTTAAGGCGTCAAGGTCATATTTACAAGTTTTGGGGAGTTGAAAGTATTGGGCATTTAAATGTAATCCCAATTTGATTGCCAAGAATTTCTTTGGGGATTTGAAAGTATTGGGCATTTAAGGGACATCACAATTTGATTGCCGACAATTTCTTTCTGTATTTAATGTAATTCCATGCACATATCAGCGAGTCTGTATTGCAAGTGTGTATTACAGTACATGCAGATTTGCAAATATCATGGGAATGTACCATCGTATCTGATGGTGAACTTCATTGAACAATCGGTAATGTTTGATGTGTTTACTGTTTACTTAAACATACTTTGCGGGCAAAGAAAAAACATTATAGATGGAATATTCATCTATTGAAGATAGAAAAATCACCATGAAATTGTAAATGTGACCGTGAACCTGAATTTGTCAGGGTTTAAACCAGTCATTCCAGTCCTGCTGTGAACCCATTGTCCTTTTGTTAACTTACACAGTAACATTGTACCCTATTGTTTACAGTTTTATGTTTACACACAGCTATTAGTGCTAGCAATGGGTATATTATGTGTTATCACCCATGGTAAATTATGAATTATTTTTAATCTTTGTTTGGTATCATGTATTTAACGACATTTATTTACCATCTTTATTTATTGAGGCTGGATTACCGCCATTAAGATCATGGAAATACTAATTAAACCCTACAACACTTGCATTGTAAATATTGTATTAAAATAAGTTGTATTTACTGATTCACTTTATTATTTTTTACAAAACATTTTTATTTTTATTTTGCAACATCGAATGATTTTTTTCAATTTGTTTTGTGGTGATATTGCAATGGCAATGTATTTTCTAGTAATTTGTTAAAAACAATCAGGGGATTTCAGAATGAGGGAACGGCATGGTATTGTCTTGAAGAGATTGTTCCTGTTATTTGCTGAGGAGTGATACACTTATTTTGCATGTAGAAAGAATGGTGTTAATCTTCCAGATTTGTTGTAAATATGATTGTATAGATAAGTGAATTTAATTTACCAATGTTTGTTCATCCTTTTTTTTTCAGAATTGTACATAAAATATCATGGTCTCTGTATAGATGGTGCATCTCCAAAACAGATAACATCTCATTTTTTGTGTTGCAGATTTGTTGTAGGCAAGTAAATTATATGGTGTTTTTGTAACATCAATAAACCATTGCTGAGAAATAGACTGTTTTGTAATGAAAACAATGTGTTATTTTTGGGTGTTGGGGTAGCCTTGTGGTTAAGGAGGTTGCTTGTCATGCCAAAGACCCGAGTTCAATTCCCACATGGGTGCAGTGTATGAAGCCCATGGCTCCCCAACCTTGATATTTCTTGAATATTGCTGAAAGTGACGGAAACCACCACACTCACTCACTCACTCACATATGTCTACATCAAGCACACAACAAAGCTAGCAGAGTACACCAGTCTGGTGAAGGTGTCAAATTCCTCAATTTTGAAGAATGAGCCAAATATTCGTTAGGCTAGACCAATTTTATTTCTTGTTTTATGGATTTTTGTCCTCAGAAAACGGCAGGAGGAGAAAAAAAAATAATAAAAAAATCACCAGTCAAAGTAATATTCCTTCTAAATACTCAAAGTATTTTACTTTTGGCAATTTATGAAGTGTATATGGGGCAAAATACAATCTAAAAACAATTTATTGTAAGTTTACATTTTTGGCCAATAAAAACATTAGGTTTTTCTTTTTTTGAGCGGTGCAAATCAATATTATAATGTTTTCTTATTCTTGAAAAAAGATGACTGGCTGATCTGTAAAACAAGAAATACAATTGGTCTGGCCTTAACTCATTTCATTGCCACTTCCAGTGAACCTTTCTTTTTAACCAGAACATGAAACCTTTTTTTAAATATTTTTAATTAATATTATATAAAATATCAGACCCTGCTTAATAAAACATGAAGATGAAACGATGAAATATTTTTTCTGTCAGTTGAACTAGACAGTAGATGTTTGTTCTTGATTGATTTATATGGTATATCATGCAGCTATGACTTGTAATCAGCATCTCAACTCTAGTTCTGCACCAATGTATTGCTTGTTTCCGTATGGTTGAATTTCACCATGATATTCAGCACCTAGCTGGGACTATATGACAAGAGGTGATATGTTGCACAAAGCCTGTGATAATACAGGTTGTTACGATGTGTCCATGGACAGTTAACAAGGATGCAGAGAATCAGAACCCCAACTTTCCAGGCAGTTGCCATAGAAACAGAAACACTTACTTGTATACAAAATGAAATTATTCAAGACAATGATGTGTAAGTTTGGATGCTTGGAATGCTATCATCCTCTTTGAGAATGTTTCACTGTAATTGATGGTAGTTTCATAAATTGGAATAAATGAAAACCAATACCATAAAGCCATATTTCATGACCCTGCTTTTTATAAAAATTGGCTAGTAATTATTTCTTACAAATATTATATCTCCGATGACTGAGTATGGAAGTATAAGAAAATACAAATATTTTCTAGAATGTTCTCCCACTTGTTATGTAATATGAGTTGATTCTGTACTTAGTCTCAGTTTGAAAGACAAGTACGCGTTGTATAAAGGATGAAGGACATCCTGATACAGTTACGTTATGTTAGACTTCATGAAAAAATCATAAATGACCCCCAGATGAATTGACTTTTGTGGGAATAATCCATATTCTAGCAAATAAAATACGATAAACTGAATTATTGAATATATAAAGTAATAGTAATGGAAAGCAGTGTATGAAATAAGGCCCGTCCGACCGCCCGAGACAGGCTATATTTCTGACGGACGTTCTAAATTGACAGCTAGCCAGCCCCATGGTCTGGAAAAATGTTTTAGATGTTCCATACATCTAAGTAAATTCATCATATTTGGTGTGGTTAAATCCATTTTGGGCTGGTAACATTTTGAAGTTACCAGCCCTGATGCCTGGCTTGATTTTTGGCTTATTTCATACACTGTGGAAAGTCAGCATTCTCATGGTATATTACAATACATTTATTATTAGCATATTGTCTTGCCCTTGTATAATGCTGATTTGACTTGATAATAGGGTAAGTGGGACATGGTTTTGCAATGCACCAGAACTTCATTACATCAGTTAACTCCAAATATCAATTAAAATGCACCATTAGTTCTACTAGCGTAAATGTCCATAGCTGAACATCAAGGAGAAACATTGGTAATCTTAAGAATAATTTCTATACTTCAATCAACATCACTGAAAGGATATGTGTGGCCCAATTGTCAGAGGGCTGTACAGAGTAGTCTCCCTTTGAAGGCTATAATCACATATGATCCCCCAGTTGCCTCAATATATTTTCTAGGTGTATCTGCACCAGTTGTTGAAACTTATTCATGGTCATAAATGAAGGATGTTGCAAATGTTGTATTCTACGTGGCAATGATGCAGACTTCCATCCTTAAGTCATAGATGTATAGTTTGATGTTATACTTCTTTGAGTGGGATTACATGAGAAATAGATAAATCAATATTTCAACATTAACATATCTCACAAGGTTTAATAAGGGACTGGTAATTTATTACAGGTGTGTGTGTTTGTGAGAGAGAGTAATGGGTCATGAATATATGTCAACTAAAGAGAACAGGGCGCCCAAATGTATCACAATTACATGTGTATGCACTGCATGTGTATGTATTTAGGTGTGTTGTGGAGTAGTGTAAGTGGAGGTGCATGTGGGTGTCGTAAAATGTAACTTATTTTGAGGGAGGGGATGAAAAAATGTTGCCTAAAAAAGTTGGGAGGATGGGATAGGATGGGTGGATGGAGTTGTGGGAGCAAGTTATGATAGTCCTAAGTTCTCTCCTGTCCCCTCCCCCTCGTAATAAATAACCAGTCCCTTACAGAGATGGATCCTTCTGTGTAAACAATGGTCAAAGTGATATGGTAATTTGTTGTTTATGTCTTGTTTATGACAGTCATAGAGAGGTGATTATTGCAATGATGACATGAACAAGGTGATATACGAGTGGTTATCACACAGCAGGACAGACTGAGTCATTTGTATCAAATGTGGCAACAGCACTATTCTGACAATAGCTACTTGCCATTTGAAATAGATATTGTTAGCTTTGGCTGTTTATTTATATGCATATCAGTTATGTTTGCAACATGCTTAGCATAATCATAAACTGCTACATTTGTTTGAAGGTTGATGGAATTGTCATTTAAAGGAGATGAAATAAAAATTCAACAGCCATGAGATGATCGTCTTGTCTTGTTTAACTCTTTAAATACTGTGACCATTGGAGAAAGTGAGGATAAGTGTCATGAGGCATATGTTCTCCTAGCATTTGGAAACTGATTGTGACCACTAGCAAGGGAATGGTGTTCTTCTGTATCCTGATGATACAATGTTTATTTTATAATGAAGTAAACAACACATTTCCTTAAAACAAACAACTGTGATTTTATTATCATGCATGTCCACAATGTCCACATTGCTGTAGTGCCAAATCGAACTGTCACCTATGGAAGTATACCTTACCTTCAGAAAAAGGAAACTCTGCACAGGCATGGCGTGGAATCATTGTCACACGGATACAATGTCATGATCTAAGGCAGTTAAATGTTCAACTGTCTTCGGGAACAATGTACAAATTCCATAAGAGAACAATGACCAACTATCATAAGGGAACAATATCCAACTTACATCAGGTTACAGTGTCCAATTCTCAAAAGGAAACCATGTCCAACTGTCGTAAGGGAACAGTGTCCAACTCTCAAAAGGAAACAATGTCCGCCTGCCATAAGGGAACAATGTCCAACTGTCATAAGGGATCAATGTCCAACTCACAAGGAAACAATGTCCAACTGCCATAAGGGAACAATGTCCAACTGTCATAAGGGAACAATGTCCAACTGTCAAACAATGTCCAACTCTCAAGCCAATGTCAAAAGGAACAATGTCCAACTGTCATAAGGGAACAATGTCCAACTGTCTTTATCGTACAATGTCAAACTGTCGTAAGGGAACAGTGTCCAACTCTCAAAAGGAAACAATGTCCGCCTGCCATAAGGGAACAATGTCCAACTGTCATAAGGGATCAATGTCCAACTCTCACAAGGGAACAATGTCCAACTGCCATAAGGGAACAATGTCCAACTGTCATAAGGGAACAATGTCCAACTGTCTTTATCGTACAATGTCCAATTGTCGTTAGGGTACAATGTCCAATTCTCAAAAGGAAACAATGTCCAACTGTCATAAGGGTACAATGTCCAACTCTCAAGAGGAAACAATGTCCTTCTGTCATAAGGGAACAATGTCCAACTCTCAAGAGGAAACAATGTCCTGTCATAAGGGAACAATGTCCAACTCTCAAGTGGAAACTATGTCCAACTGTTGTTAGGGTACAATGTCCAACTCTCAAGAGGAAACAATGTCCTTCTGTCATAAGGGAACAATGTCCAACTCTCAAGAGGAAACAATGTCCTTCTGTCATAAGGGAACAATGTCCAACTCTCAAGAGGAAACAATGTCCAACTGTTGTAAGGGTACAATGTCCAACTCTCAAGAGGAAACAATGTCCAACTGTCATAAGGGTACAATGTCCAACTCTCAAGAGGAAACAATGTCCTTCTGTCATAAGGGAACAATGTCCAACTCTCAAGAGGAAACAATGTCCTTCTGTCATAAGGGAACAATGTCCAACTCTCAAGAGGAAACAATGTCCAACTGTCTTTATCGTACAATGTCCAATTGTCGTTAGGGTACAATGTCCAATTCTCAAAAGGAAACAATGTCCTTCTGTCATAAGGGTACAATGTCCAACTCTCAAGAGGAAACAAGGTCCAACTGTCATGAGGGAACAATGTCTTTCTGTCATTAGTGAACAATGTCCAACTCTCAAGAGGAAACAATGTTCAACTGTCATAAAGGAACAATGTCCAACTGTCTTTATCGTACAATGTCCAATTGTCGTTAGGGTACAATGTCCAATTCTCAAAAGGAAACAATGTCCAACTGTCATAAGGGTACAATGTCCAACTCTCAAGAGGAAACAATGTCCTTCTGTCATAAGGGAACAATGTCCAACTCTCAAGAGGAAACAATGTCCTGTCATAAGGGAACAATGTCCAACTCTCAAGAGGAAACAATGTCCAACTGTCTTTATCGTACAATGTCCAATTGTCGTTAGGGTACAATGTCCAATTCTCCAAAGGAAACAATGTCCAACTGCCATAAGGGAACAATGTCCAACTCTCATGAGGAACAATGTCCAACTGTCAAGAGGAAACAATGTCCAACTGTCCAACTGTCGTTAGGGTTCAACAATGTCCAACTGTCATCTCAACTCTCAAGAGGAAACAATGTCCAACTCTCAAGAGGAAACAATGTCCAACTGTCATAAAGGAGCAATGTCCAACTCTCAAGAGGAAACAATGTCCAACTGTCGTTAGGGTACAATGTCCAATTCTCCAAAGGAAACAATGTCCAACTGTCAAGAGGGAACAATGTCCAATTGTCGTTAGGGTACAATGTCCAATTCTCCAAAGG